CTCCTCACTAGGTTATTTACTAGTTTTCTATGCTGAGAGATTGGCTAGCAGTAGCATCAGCGTTCGATGAGCAGTCCAATTGCTGGATTACTTCAGATGTGGCAGTAAATATCTAAACTGCGCCTGCTATATAACGTCGGCATTCAAATTAAAACTGTAATGATTATGCCCTTTACAGTTCACAAAACATTGTAAACATTATTTCTACTTTACTCGTAAAAACCATCCATCTTAAAACCGTTCCCGCGCTCGAGCAACTCGTAACCTTCCTCGTACAAGGTCTTGTCCTTAGTCTCCGAGATTATCCCACATTCGCGACTTTACAGTATGTAACGAAGGTGTGCAGCCGTCATAGTGGCAATTCAGACGCTTTCCAAGTTCCCGCTCACCAAAACTCGAAGTCGTTTTTCCATCACGACATTTTTTTCGTTGTTAGATGGTACTAGTATTGACAAACGATCAGTGAGCCAGAGGTAGCAGGATATGGCGTTGGGTACGTAAAACGAGCAGTTCCGGAGGAGTTCAAAAAGCTGCGTCTCTACTTTTTTTCCCCCCTCTTTTTCTTCACTGAAAATATTATGCAGGCTTGGCAAATGCCCCCTTCAGAGCACCGCAGTGTCTTAACTATGCCTTCAGCATCCATGGCTTTATGGACATCTTTACATTAAAATAACATTTATGGTGGTCTACTATCTGGTATCTGTGCTATATCAAACTTTATTTATCCATACTACAGATGCTGCCACGGGGCACGGATCGGCAGCGGGCGAGGGTTGGGGGGGGGGGTGTGCCATTCCACTGCTTCAATAGTTAGGCCGTATTCATAACGACGATGTTGCAGAAATGACGAAATTGCAGAAAGGAAATGCACACGTATTGAAGAACCTCATTTCTCCCATTTCCGCGGAATTTGCAGAAATGCCGAAATGACGGACGAAGAAGTGATAGGGATCGATCGCTTGATTCCTGACGTGCGGAAACTGAGAGAAATGCAGAATCTGCAAATTCCGCATCTCTCCAAATTGTGCGGAATTTGCGAAATGCCGAAGACGGACAACGACTTTATAGGGATTGATCGTTAAGCTCACCAGCAGAATTTCCGCATTTCGGCATCTTCTGCACTTTCCGCACTTCTGCATTTCTGCAAACTCCGCGATTTCCGAAACCGGGAGACAGATTTTCTTCTTGCGCGTTCCGCGGTTCGGCATTTCTGCATCATTGGCTTTACTGCATTACAGGCTGGTGCACTCAACGCCAGCCTCGCCTCAACAAATGAGAGGTTCTAGACAAACCTCTGATTCTTGTAGGTAGAAGCGAGCTCGTTAGAGCCACCAGCCACTGTGGTTGAGTAAAGCTATGTGTAGGTTGGTACTTTGTTCTTGCAAAGTTAACAGGTGCCCTACGACTTCGGCACCCCCTTTTTCCGGCTTCAAATATCTCACAGGTCAGCTACCTGGAGCTCACACGTATGGAATCAGAAGAAGCGAACAAACTCCCACCCATTCCCCCGCCAAACTGTCAGGGTAGCTATGAGCTATGACACATTAATTTCTGTTGACTACTTCTATTTCTCTGCGTTCTTGGGTGACACCCTGAAGCGCAAACGGACACAGGGCAGCCAAAGGATCTAAAGGCGCGAAAGAACATGTGGCGGTCCAGAGGCTGTGCGTTCAGGGCACAGCATCGTTGTGCGAAACATACAGAGGGGGGAGGGGACGTATTTTCCGCTTGGAAGGAGTCTTAGTTGGCAGTTGGGAAGGAAGGAGCAGGGTCGTATGTGCCTTCAAGAGAAATTTTGGGAAAAAATTTTTTCCTGGTTGTTGACTTTTCGCGTGATTTTTCCTGTTTCATGTGTACTATATACCCCCTCCCCCGACTCGCCGGTAAATTTTGAGTGAAGGACAGGAAAATGAGTGGGGCAGGTCGTACCTACACTATCATTTCACACCTCACGATGCTGTACCCTGTGGGCGTTTTCAAAGGCCGTGAGAAAATGAATCATACGCGATTAGAGGGATTGACTACAAGTTATAGGCAAACTATCATAAACAGTGTCATAGGTCCTTAAAAGAAAATAAGACTCAAAAACAAAAAAAAAACAAAATACGAAACGTTTTGTATTGCAGCATGATAACGAAAAGAACATCAGAACTAGAGAAAACAACTGAAGAAAGGATGAAACTCATACCGGTAACGAGCAGCAAGCCAGACTTCTCCAACTGCTTCAAGAAAACAACGCGCTTTCCCTTGTGACGTCCAGCAAGAACAATGAGCACAGTTCCCGGAACGAGAGACTTTCTGAGTGGAACCTTCTTGGGGTGTCCAAGCTTGAACTTTGGTCCAGTTCGTTGAAGAGGAAGCATGAGCGGCTAAAAAACCAACAGCATAGGAAATGGCGAAATAAACAAGAAGGTGGGATAGCGACAAAACAAAATGTATGGCATGGAGGTGGAGTAAGCGAGCGTAAAGCAAGGCCTACTCGCATAATATGCCTAATCGATATTCGAGAACATACCAGCACTCCACATTCAACAGAAAATGGGAGAGACTCTAGTCTCGAAACGATGACCAGCTACAAATAAAAATAGTTTGTAGCCTAACCTCAGCAGACTTCTTAACGAGTGGCTTCTTTGCTCCACGTCTAAGATACATTCGCGCTGCTGAAAACCTTGACACTGCCGGTGACAGGTCAAAGTTACGACCAAGTACAGGAACGTTCCTTCCACCCACCATTTGATACCTGAAGAGCAGCGGAGCAGTGTATTTAAATAGAACCAAGTCACGCTAGAAACGACAAGGGACGACTACTGAACGTGGATGTCTACTTTGAGCGAATAGTAAAGACACGAGAAACATAGCAGAAAAACAAACGAGCATTAACATCCAACTATGCTTCTGAGACTTCGCTAGCTCTTACGGGAAATATTCAAGGATAGTCCTTAAAGTCGATAAACTTCGCTTGCATGGCTGCCGTAAGTTGAAAAATGTTTGCAGCAATTACACAAATTGCAATCGAAATGTTGGACCACATGGGCTAGAAACTGAGGCATGAGTTATTTGGTTGTATATGCCAAATATAACCACTAAAACTCGACTTATCGGTTACATAAGTAGAAAATCTAGAAGAAAGGCGAACATTTAGTTTAGTCGATAGAAACATGGCTTTAACTGCAAGATTGGCTCGGAGCCAAAAACCAGGAGGATTGAATATATTATGGATATGGTGGTATTGAATCTACCCTCTAGACGAAAAACTTCGATGGCCTCAACGATAAATAATTGAAATGAATGATACAAACATCCCAAAGTATCACAGAAGTACATTGTACAACGGGAACTTCGCCTACTTGTGGGCGTGGCAGACACAACCAGCCTTGGAATCGCTAACAACCAGAGAAACTGAGGAATAGCGGCCTTTTATGATATTTAGGGTCTTGAGTGCTACTGAACAAACGGACACATTACTTAATATAAGTTAAACCTAAGGAAAAATTAAATAATATTTAAGCAGAGAAATTGACATCGCCGGCGATCCCTGAGTATTCTACACTGTGCGTGTCGGGACCGCATATGTGGAAACGCATGCGTCCTTTGAACTTCATTTTTGGATCTTCGGGTTGAGAAATGTGAATCATTTTTGTAGTCTTTTTGAGCTTGTGTGGAAGCTGCAGCTTGCTTCTTTTCAAACTGGAACAAAGGGCGAACTTGACGGTCGGTGTTTTCAGGTTGTCCATCGTATAATCCACCTGTCCTGATCTCATCCAATGATTTATCCTTACCATGATAACTGAGAAAGATGTCGAGGTCAGCTGTTTCACGCCAAGAGGATTACCAGGTATGTATCTGAGCGATCTGGAGTTATGAATGGTTCCAGCGACAATCTTATTCCGCCCTTTTAGAGACCCTTCTCTTGAAGTGTTGATGTTAATTTAGGTTGAACTTCTCGACAAGGCTTGCAAACGTAATGTTATCGTTCAACTCGGTACAGGTGCTGGGAAAACATTCATAGCTGTTTTGCTGCTGAAGGAGTATGGACTTCAAATTATGGCACCGTTCGAAAGCGGCGGAAAACGAGCGTTCTTTGTTGTTGACAAAGGTAACTCTTGTTTCGTTCATTCCTTTTTTTTACAGAAATGTAGTTTTTTGTAGTTTGTAGTTCTTCTCCGTAACTGGTTAAAGATCCGAAATGAAAAAAGTGATTGGTTGTGTTACTCGAATACTGAGCCAGGGTGGTAGGCAACTCAATAGAGAAAAAAAGTAGCAGCCATCCGAAGTGCCCTTGACAGGACCCCCGCCGGTGCGAACTTGTGCGGGCACACAGTAAAAGAGACTGTGGTTGGGCGAGTCATCATGTGCTGGTGTCCCAACAATATCATCTCATCTCTTATTACTCCATTCGGAATATAAAATACTTGTAGCAGATGAACCGCACCAGGGAGCTTGTAAAAGCAGCGGGCACGATGGCTGGGGGAGTGTTGTTACCGCCAACGTCATGGGTGCAAGGGCTGCGAGAAGACGTTCAGCCACATCCCACTCAGAATTTCCACCAGTGATGTTGGCAGCAACTCCCCCCCCCCACATCTCCAAGGCTATGCCCACTGCCCTTGAAAATGAGGTGTGGCGGACCGTATATTGGTGGAGCATCGCCGTCCTCACGAACGCCTAACTTCCTTACCGCCCACGGTCATTTCTAGACCAGGAGTTGAATATCACCTCTCCGTTTGGCTGGAATGTCAGTTGCAGATCCATGTGGCGACGACTGGGAAAATACACTACTATCAAGAACTAAACGGACTAATAGCTAGTTGGCGCCATATAGCATAGCTTTCCATTTCCGATACTACACAGCGCAACTAAAGTACGAATGCAGACTTAAAACTATTAGTGCCGTCATTTTGAAATAGTTTTTTTGGAGATATACTAGTTTCTACATGTTTTCAGTAGCTCTCGTGGATCAGCAAGCTGAGCATATTCAGTGCCATACTACGCTTACGTTGGAGAATGCAGGCATGTGAAATATCGATGTGTGATATAAAGCAAAGCGGATTCGAAGGATTCAGTCTGCTACATAATTCATTTCATCTTCAATTTAGTATCCCATTTGCAGTAAGTTCCTCTTCTACAGAACACACTCAGATCGGAGACATTGCATATTTATCTCCGAGACCAGCCTTCCCTATGGCGAGAACTATTGTGGTCAGCTTTACAGGCTGAACACTTTCGTGTTTATGAAAAGCGGCACAAATAAGACAGTGATACCTGGGTTTCGTTTCGGACTGTGCCCTATCCTTAAGTTACAACACTTGCATCTGTGCAGTAGTCCCGCAGCGAACACGCAGAGGTATCAAAACATAATTGAGAGGTGCGGCTCGACAAGCAGCGCGCTCGCCAAGCTTAGGTAATGGAACCGGACCGTGCAAGCTCCTTTCATCTCCGCTCCTTGTGTATTTTGAGTCTGAAATAGTGCGCGCGTACTGCTGCCTGCTAGAAAACATTCCCTTGTCACATGAGTAAAGATAGCGTCCTTGGAGCAGTAGCTGTTGTCGCCTTATAGCGTCGTTACTTGCTGGTTTCAGTATTCACTGTAGTCGATTTCTGTTTCAGGTAGTAGTCATTACGGCACAAGTGTTTCTTGATTTGATAGATCATGCCTACTTCAACATCGCAAAACTTGCTCTCGTTATATTCGATGAATTCCATCATGCGCTTGCGTCTAAACATCCCGTCATCGGGGATACATGGATCGATTATGCGCGCTACCACATGTATTTTTGCTAGACTTAATCTTTTGGACTGAATAGAAGTAATTATTGGAACGTTTCTCCCACCTGATTAGATACTATAGTTAGACCTTTAAGGCAATCTTGTAGAGCCAGATTACTTCGCGCTTTTTCGTATGAGTATTCAAATGCCTTAGTATCGCACTTAAGCGCAGAGGCTCCTCGATTCTAGGTGTGAGGAATGGCTATTTCATCCATACTATATCAGCCACGCTGTTGCGCGCTTTATTCCGCGAATTGTCTCTACTTGTCTCTTCTTTCTAGCTGAACAGCCTCGATTTTGGGTCTCACCGGCCTTTCCTCTATCAACGACAAAACTCCACCCAATCAGTTGGAGGCAAAACTTTCCAAGCTGGAGTGCGTTTTGAACAGTGCTATCGAAACAGCCTCTGATCTCGTAGCGGTGCGTAAGTCATTGCCTATTCAGAAAAATCGCCTTCTTTTCTTCGGTTATTAGCCTACTAGAAGTTTGTGCTTCAGTATTATACGCAAATACGGTGCAAAGCCTAACGAATTACGTCGGCGTCTCGACCAGACTACAACCCCACGAAGATGTGGGTGGGAGATTCTCCAGTTGCTGGTAGGATTAGATTGTTATATATATTATTCTACATATATCGCTGCATTAGGGCGAGGTTGTCTATTGCATACCTAGCCATATACCGGTCGCGCGGGTCGGGCTCAATCTAAGAATCGACTTTCGCTGAGACCACCATCTCATCGAAAACGTCAAAAACAGTTTGTATTAGTCTTCGTCATCGTGCGTCGGCATCTTGCAGGCGAGTACGCCGACATACTTCTCGATGTGCCCAGTTTTCTCGATTGCACAGCAAAACACTAGCTGCTCTAAACTCTTTCCTTAAGCAGCGTTCATACTTTGGCGGTAGCGCTTTCGGCGCGCGATCGACAATAAATGTGCCATGCTTTTCGAACGCCGACCGAAGCGCTGCTGTCATGAGGTCCTAACGTACCTAATGGGCAGTTATAAATATTTTCCCCTTCTTATTAAAGCTCCAAACGCCATTGAGCAGAACTCGCCCAACTGTGCACGGCGGGATATCACGAGTTGTTTGTTACGTTTAACCCTCTAAGCTCACTGGTCGGTGAAAGTGGAAGCTTTGTTCTATAAAAAAATTCACTGACTTTCAATCGATCGTCCACGTTTGCACTCGAAAAGCAACTGCGATTCTGAGTGGAGTCAAGATGCGTGCCTAGAAATCCCGAAAAGGGCTGATCATTGACGGAAGTTCCTCAACGATTGTGTGTGTTCATTACCAGCCTGTTCTCTTAATCTTGGTGACCTACAGGAAGACCGATCGAAATTTGCTCGATCGACGCTAAATTCGATTCCAATGTCGATATCGACCCTCCAAGCTATTCAAGAAGATCAACAGATACGATTGGCTGATACTTCGTCAAGTTGGACCATTGGCTCTTGGAAGGTATGTTAGCTTCCTTTGGTTTTTACATATCCTCTTAATTGACCACTTTGTTTCTGATACTATGTTCTTTAGAAATTTCCATAATCGTTGAAAATTTTTCGGCATAAATTTTTAGGTTTCTCAAATGTGGGAGAAGGAGCTACACAAACTAACGAAACAGAGTTTTCTTCAAGAAAAGACAGTAGATTTTCTGATTATGGGAGAAACCTGCATGACCACTGTTCGGAAGATGCTGGAGCCGAAGGTTATCATTTTTCATTCCAAAATACTTGAAGCTACATTGCTCAACATATCTGTATTCATGGCGCAACCTTGTTCGCTGCAGATGATACGGCGCGCAGGGGAGAGCGGTGGTTAGGAGCTGCCAGCTTCATCTTATTTTATCTTACCCCTGTTATCTTGCAATGATTGAGGAGGGCAAGCGACAACAACTGATGGAAAACGGGAAGGTGACGGTCCCCTGACACGCCCCAGCATCCGCTGCGAACAAGCTTGTAGTTGCAGCTCTTCAAGCATACTTTTAAAGATTCTGAAGCTCTTCGCATTTTGGATACCCATTTGCAGCTGCTTTCATTACGGTCTTACAGATGAAACCGATCAAAACTCTCGAAGGATTAAAGCCTTATCTCCCGAGTAAGGTTGTGCGATTGATAGATATTCTCTTGCATTTCAATCCAGATAAAGGAAATGGTACAAGCGAGAAGGATGATCCACTGAGTGGAATCATTTTTCGATCGATCACGCTACGTGGCTTATACTTCTCAACTGTAAGTATCCGACAGAACTGTTTTTCATTTACACTTTTAGTTCTCACAGCTGTTTTTCATTTACTACTTCTAATTCTCCCACGAAAGAGCTTATAGCGCCTCAATTTTTTTCCTTATCATTGAGCTTGCAGGTTCTGCTACGACACGTTTGTCGATGGGAACCGAATTTCAAGTTTATTCAATCAGATTTCGTGATTGGATTCAGTGGTGGAAGCTTTGCATCAGACGACAGCCAAGGATTACACAAAAGACAAGCCGATGTTAGTGATTGCAGGGAATTCTGTCAAAGAAGGCCTGTGTATTCAGAAGGCTGTGGATCGATTCATGTGGGCGGACAGTTGTCGCTAACGTCATTGGTGGCACGGCTGAATGGGGCGTGCAAAACAGCCTCTTGCAGCCCTTCCATCGCCTCTTGCAGCCCTTCCATCAATGACCCTGGCAACAACTGCTCGCCTATAGCAATCGCGTCCAGTGCCTTCTCTCACAGCTTTGCTAGTTTCCTTTCCTTGAAGGCTTTTTCCGCAATAAATAAGGCTACAACCTATCAAATGCGTCAGATGATCTCGTAGGGGATTCTGGAGGCTCTGCTCCCTTCAAAAAGTGAAATTGGCGCGAGCTCCGCTGGAAGTTGGCCGATTAGGCAGCTAGTAGCTAGTAGTTGCTTGTAGCTAGCAGCCAGTGGGGGTCGACATGGGCCTAGGGGTGCCCTAGTGGTGTGGGATGTGTTGTCTTTCTCCATTCCGAATGGTGGGGCGATAATATAAAGGAGCCTATATCGTTATGCTAACAACGTGTGGAAATTGTTCAAAGCGCCTTCTCTTCATTGCCTGCACGTACAAGTTGGGGTCGGCATGGAGTCCTTTCAGGGGCAATTCGGACGGTTTTTCTGCATCTTCCTCCAGTAAACAATTATGTGGCACTTTATCATTCGTAGCTCCGTAACTCGCAATCTCTGGTGGCTGTTTTTGGTTTTAAGTTCTTGGCTATACTAACCGTCTAGAATTGCGTCAAATATTGCATTTTTAGTTTCCCCCCATGATCGGTGCATAAAGCTATTTTCTAAAATTGGACTATGTGTTGTCGTTCGATTCCGTAAGGCTCCATTCATACTCTACGCCAGCGTTCTGAGCAACTAGTAAAGTAACAGCATCAATCTAGCGTTTTGGGGTATAAGGCAAGAGAATCGTAATTCGCTGCGCCAGTGGGCGTCGCGTGCGACGTCGCGCCCGCTAATGACGACGATTTTAGGTACTGGTCGAGAATTGACAATGTATGACCAAAGTAGACATAAGTTTCTACTATTTCCTTGTCTGCACGATGCTCGAAAAACGCGAAAGGGTAGCGCAAGACAAGGAAACGCTGCGCCCATTCCCGCGATGAAGCGGTGAATTACGATTCTCTTGCCCGTATCCCAGCGTTTTTGAGCACTGGTTTTAGCGTTCGCGGCTAGTCGCAAAAAATTCGTGCAATAGAGACGCTATCGCAATGTATGACCTAGCCTTATAATGCCGGTTTCTCTTACTAATAAGGCTACTCAATTGTCGATCATCTTGTCTCCAAACTTTTCATTTCTAGGTAATCCGTCGTTTTCGACAAGGGGAGCTAAACTTGTTAGTGGCAACGAGCGTTTTGGAAGAGGGTGTTGATGTTCGACATTGCAACCTGGTGATAAAATTCGATCGGCCGATTGACTATCGTTCATACATCCAGGCAGGTTCTTTCGAATATTTAAAGGCTAGTCCATACACCGCTTTGGCGCTGCCACCGTGGAGGTGGAGAAGTACGAAAATGTTGAACCAAGACCAGAAGTTTTTGCCGCTAGCACGTTCATTATCGGGGCATCAGGTTGGGAACAGACTTGTGCCTCATTTACTGAAGCTTCCACTGGTCCGGAGGCGGATAGCTGTCAGATTTGTCTGGTGAAGGGCTCTAACTTGCACATCAGCTCAACTCACGAGGCCAATTGAGGCGTGAAGCATTCCTTGATTCCCGATCAGAATCGTGGCATTCAAACGTTGAGCCTGTGCAGTGACTTGCGGAGTATTCTCCTCTCTTGAAGAGGTCTGGTATCTCATAAAAATGGCTATGGATAGGTAAAAGACTTGGCTAGTTGGGGAGGACTTGATGCAGGATAGGATGTCTGATCCACTGGCATGCTATAGTCTTGTTCGCTGGTGATGCTGGGACGTGTTAAGGAGGGGGTGAGAGGAGGGCTGTGTTTGGCGCAGCGCCTACCTTTTCCTCGCCAATCGTCGATGGGGCAAACGGCAACATTTGGTGGAAATTGGGGTGGCGCCGCGCCAAAGCCAGTCTCTGACATGCCCTAGCATCTGCATTGAACAGGAATGTAAGCAGGCACACATAACAACACACATCCTCCATCCCTGTGAAAGGCTAAACATGCATCCGAGTGCACGAGATATTGACTGTAAGTCAGAATCATGATGAAACCTAAAAACGAACAATTCGTATTGAGGTTTGTTCTTGCATCTAGACCAGTATCATCGAAGATTTCAGCGGGGCAGTCTTTCAAAACTGGGTTTCAAAGCTCTTAATACTCCCACCTCTCGTGCCGCGAAGTGAAATTTTTTTGCAGTGTTTGCAACATTTGTCTTTTCTGCTAATCGAACTAGGCGAATATGAACTCGAATTTACGAGTTTTCCAGTCGAAAGGGCGAGCTCGAAAACGTGATGGAGGCGCAAAGTACTTCATACTGGTTGACAAATCGGATAGCGCAAAATGTTCCGAAGATCTTCGAGATTTTGTTAATATCGAAAAGGTGCACAACTATTTTTTGCCCATGTTTTTGTAGAGCTATATTTGGTTCTGTTGCTATTCACAACTTATTTGCCTATTCTAGATGCTCCTGCGTCGGTGTCGTAGTGTTCACAATCCAGGTAATGACGGTGATAACGAAGTTGGCCTGGCCGAAAATGTGGATAAACTGATTCCTCCTTACGTGGTGCCATCTACTGGTGCGCAGGTCTCTTTGTCTTCTGCAATAGGGCTAGTGAATAGGTTAGCGAAGTTTTCGGTATTCTTAAAGCTTCGGTTGAATTGCCTTCTTCACAGGTACTGTGCAAAACTACCTTCGGATATTTTCACCCGACTTGTACCACAAAATCGTTTGATTGCTGTGAATATACTGGGTAAAACACTCTACAGGGCTGAGTTGTTGTTACCCATAAATTCACCAGTAAAGCAGCCAATAGTGTTGGAGACGCCTTTGCAAAGTAAGAAGCTGGCGCAAATGGCCGTGGCGCTTGAGGTAGGTGTTTGTCTCTGTTTTTCCAACTTTATTATATTATACGCAGTTTTCATTTTGAATCGGTCACTTTTCGAATAGAATCGGGCACAACCGTTACATTGGGCGAAGATTAAGTAGGCCACAGTATCAGTGCGAGCCTCGCCCATTTAACCATGCCAACATTTGCGTATTTTTGCGAATTCAATCTTCCTCGAAATCTCACTCTTTTAGGCCGCAACAGTGTCCGCTCCCCAACAAAACTTGCCCGCCTCACAGAGGTTCTTCCCGCTTTTGAAAACTGATCCAGATCGGCAGGGTCAAGCTGGCAGGTTGTGATCTCCGTTGTCGCGCAGCGCCAAAAAACCAGAGAATGTTTGTTCCGGGCCACGTGGGAGACCATAGCCTACCAGTTCCGACTCTAGTCTGCCGATCTGGATCACTTTTCAGAAGTGGGCGGAGCTCCTGTGAGGCGGGAAGGCTACTGTTGGGAAGGGAGCCACCAGTTCAGCCAAAGAGGCTGAAATTTTGCTCGAAACAATCAAAATTGCCTTGAAAAAAACGCAAAGTTGGCGTGCGTCAAAGCGGCAAATCTCGCTTGCAATAGGTGGTCTACTTACTCATTTTCAATGTGTAAAGGGGTGTGTCGATTTTTATCTAAAAGTTCGCTTTTCATTGAGAAGTGTCCTATTTGAAATGATAGTGGTATTCATCGTGGCTCGATTATATTAAATTCCCACAAGAGGTCCATTCCAGGCATGTCGCGTTCTTCACCAAGCTGGTGAGCTTAACGACCATTTGCTTCCGGTAGGGCGAGAATCTATTGCCCTGCTAAGTCAGCTGACGAGATCAAGACCGAATGGCGCTCAGGAATTCGTAAAGTAGGATCGGCGAGGAAGAAAACAGCTCTATGATAAGCGAGTGCGCATCTTCATTGTTCAACAGATTATAATTTTTGTTGAAGGCAGTTGGCACGACAAATCCCCCAAGAACCTACTGGATCAATACTCCTGCCAGAATAGATTCGCGACCTGGGCAGGGGGCATAGAGGTTTTCCCGAGGAGTAAGATGCCCTGTTAAGGCCCTATCAAGCACACAACTTTACGTCCCCAAAGCCCGCCACGCCCACAAGCCGTTCCTGACGCTTCGTATTCATTCAATTGCTAAGAAAATTATGAAGCGAAGGAATTGGTATGAAGCGGCCGTGAGGCTGCATGGATATATAGGTACACATATGCAGCCGTACCTTCGGTTGCGGTGATTGGTAAGGTGCCTGCGGGAAACTCGTCCGAAATCGATTTACAAGTCACTGAGTACGGGGGCCTTTTCTTTGCGGGACTCGACCGTAGTCACTCCGTTCTTTCCCACTTTCTTCAGCTATACAGCACCCTTACTAGCAAATTTTCGCCGCAGTAGGAAATCGTATCGGCCAACTGCCTTTTTCTTTTGCCTTGCTGAGCATAGTAAGTCCCGTTGCTGTCAGTGGCGACGGCACTGCACGAGGCTCTTCCTGTGAAAGGAGAACCATGTTATATCTATGTCATGGAGTTGGAGTTGCTCAAAGAACCGTCACCGGAGTCAAATCGAGAGGCGTCGCTTCGCCAATCCTTTAGATTACGAGTATTTGTTTGGATTTTTAAGCTCAAAAATATTACCGAAAGTAAGTTGTCATATGCACTAAGTTACTACATGTTAATAATGAAGCTGAATGTGATTAATTTCCGTCGTTTTGCGGTCCGTATTTTACGCAGTGCAATGCGGTGACATCTTGTTCGTGCTCAACTCAGGTAACCTTGGCTCTATCTTCGGGCTAGATTCCAGTTATGGTACGATCTCAGTGTTTGTATACTTTTACATTGTCACGCTAAATTAGTCAAATTCTCGCGACTCATGATGTCAAACATTTTCATCATTACATTTTTAAAAATGTGCTACAATTGTGCAAAGCTAATCTGGATTTTCATCTCGACTCATCAACACCTATAAATACGCTCATCGTACCTCTTTCACGAAGAAGTAGGTTCCCCATTTTATAGGGCTGTTGCGAAAGTTTTAGATTGAGTGAGAAATCAATGTATAAGTTTTTATTGATGCATTAGGCGCCATGTGGGCCGCCATGTGCATTGATATGAATGCTCGTTTTCTGGATTGATTTTCCGGCACCCTTCACTGCCCCAATCACCGAAAGAATGTGGGACAGTCTTGTTGGCGACTTTTGTCTCCGTTCGTGAATTTGGCTCAAGATTTGAAACCCGGGGTTACTTGACGTACTGACGCATGATTATCACATCGCGTTGGCACGAAACTGGCCGCCCGCGCCACAGGAGCCGGCGCCCAAATTCTCCAGATCATCAGCGCCCGTGGCGCGGGCGCCAAAAGTTTTCGGGCTAAGCGGATGTGATATTCGTGTTCAGGAGAATCAAACTATCCCAGGAGACAACTGAGCCACGTTTGTCCACGGAGAAAAAAGTCGGTTGAAAACTGGCTCGATTCCGGATAAATGGGGCAGTAAAGGGTAAATAGGGCGGGCCGGGCGGTTTCCCGGGCGGTCGCTGTCTATGCCAATTCTCGTTTGTGTGAACAAATGGGTTGGAATAATCCGTTGTTTACTTTTTATGGTCGAAAGGCACACAATATCGGGAGCAAGGGTACGTCCTGCCGTTTGCGTCAAGCCAGGCCTTCAAAATATCCGCCGTGGTACCCCCACCCCTTTCCTCCTCCGTCTTACTGCATTTTCCCAACTCCCTACCACTTTCCTTCTCAAAAGTTTACCAACGGACGGGGGGGATCGGAAGATTGGTGGCGTGGGCTGCGCATATTCCGCCGTTAATTCAGTGGGATATGCTTTTTTCAAGGGTATTTCTTCTCAGACCAGCTGGCATGCTGTATTGTGCTGGACAAAGGTCTGGCTGGAGTTGTTACAAACCGTAGTATCTTATTGGAAGCGCGGTGGTTAACGCTTCGACGCCACTACTCCTTCTATCGAGGTGAGAGTGAAGATGAATTGCAGTTCCTGGTAATTTTATGTGAACGAGTCCTCAATCAGAAATTTTAAAGGTTTCTAGACTTCTAAGAGTTCTATGTAGAACATATAGTCCGATAAATTATTCCTTATCAAATCACGTATTTACTGAAAATTCAATATTACATTTGATATCTATGTTTAATGTGACCCATACTTCAATACTACTCGTTATATGACCATGCATAGATATCGCTAATCAATTTTCGAATTTGTAAATACGTATTTTCGGTAAAGTGGTGTATAATTAGTTTATAATGTATACAAGTGCGATGGAGTACTCATGCTATGTCAATCCACCGAAGTTAGCGTGAGAATAAGTAGGATCAAGATGAAGATTGGCGAACCCCAAGGAGAGCCCAGCGAAGAAGAGCCCGACAAGGAAATTGTGTCGTATCGACTGAGGCATTTGTTTCAGCCGGCTACCATGTGAGGACTATGATACGAGATTCTATGTTTCAGGCCTGAGGGAGGACTATAGGGGGATGCCGTTGTGATGCCGTGGTACAGAAATATCGAGCAGCCAGTGTTTTACTATGTTGCCGAGGTTAGGTTCAAGCTTTACCGTGCCTGATAAGATATTGGAGGGAACAGGGAACTTGGTACGCTAAGGTTCCTCAACGGGGGTCATGTTTGGTCTTTGGTCGCTGTATGGTAAGGGGGTCATGCTAAGCCTAAAAGAATCTTCTCTGGTCGCTGATTTTTTTCCCATTTCACACGTTCCCCTTTGTTGGTGGCGGTGCAAAGCCCTCTAAAGTAATCACTGCGTTTTTGTGATTGATTAGCGACGGGTTCCTTCCCCACCCAATGCCAGATTGTACAGAGAAAGTGGTAAGAGCTGAGGAAAATTAAGACATAGTAGATTGGGATTAGAGTAAGGACGTCCTGTGGAGCAGACCGATTTTAATTGCCTATCAGGCGGAACAGCGTGCACCCAGTGGCTTCCCCGCAACCGCCCTAACCTTTGCGTAGAAAGATGGGTCATCAAGACTTACCTACTCGATTTCGGCTGCAGGAACGGTCAGCGCGACATTCACACTTTGCTGTTCCCCACTTCGAGTTGAGCCATCTCGTATACATACTGGGCTTTTGCAGCCATGAAATAATACCGGTAGGAAATTGTAGAAATTACCTCAATTCTTGTAAAGCAGTGAACACTACACCGGGAAGCAGCGAAAGGGCAAAATGCCTTCTCACTCCCCGCTCTCGTCGACGAACTGCGCCGAAATGTTTCAGGTTTGATTAAACGGTGCATTTACTATTTGATACTCGTCTCGGCACTCATACTGGTAACCAATATGGAGTTCGCTTTTTGTTCTTTAAGATACTTGAGAATCTTACGCCATCATCTCTCGTTCCCTGATGAAGAATATTCGTCGTTCAACGAGTATTTCATAAAGAAATACAACTTGGAAATTTACGATCAGAAGCAGAATTTGCTCGACGTCGACTTTACTTCAAAGTAGATTTAGTTTTGTTTGTATGTCGTTTCACCTTCATAACGTTGTCGTTATAAGGCGATAGTTGCGACAATAGGATACCCATTTCAGTCGTCTGAACTTATTACTGCCCCGAGCTGGAGGAGGGCGACGAAAAACAGCTGCGGTTAAACCTGAAGACAACTCAGCTTTGTCACGACAGCGCCAGATCTACGTCCCGGAACTGATGGATCGGCATCCAATATCTGCTACGTTATGGAATCTAATATCAGCGTTGCCGAGCTTCTTTTACCGGTGTGTTGGTTCGCTTTTGTGAATTTTCGCTTTGGATCGAACGGGTGTCGAGGGGATCGGAGGGCTAAGCACTTCAAGGGCCGCACCAGAAACACTTAATTTCTCCATTTTTCCTCGAACTCTTCTAAGCCGATCATACGAGCCGATCCAGAGCACATTGCATTGAAATGGCAAAGGGGCACAGTTTGACAACGGGGGGGGGGTCCATTTTGTACTATCATTGCTTCCCTAGTTATGTCTCTGGGGAAACCTGTGAACTGTGAAGCTGGAACAAGGTAGTCAAGCCATCATGTTAAAACCTGTCAACTCGAGAAGAGGCTGTCTAGATAGGTCGACACGTCGATGGGAAGTAGCAAAAGTGCAAAATGCCCCCTCCCCCTCCCGTCGTCAAACTGCGCCTAGCAAAGGTGTGGCATACCATTTCTGTACGGACTGGCCCACTTGGAGTGCGCCACACACTCCACAATCGCTCACAGTGTAGATACTGGTAGCAGTTTGACCTTAGACATGGGAATAAGGAAACCATATTATGCCTGTAGTTTCACAAACCTCGCAGTGCAATGCGGGGCTTGCCTGCAGGGTATTTCGTGGTTTGCTTGAGCAATATTCTACAACATATGGCCCATTCCTGAAGACCGTCGAGAGGGGGAGGGAGATCATTCCCTGCGATCCACTATCGAAAATAGTAAAGTTACCGCCGACTGACTGGGAAATGGCAATCATAAAAGGTTTTGCCAGGCCATGCCAGAGAATGGCCCTAGTGCTGGGAAAAATTTCTGCACAATGCGACCCGCCCACAGGTTTTCTCCTCTGCTACGGCTCCCCCTTCCCCACACCCCATCCTGCCTACCATGTTCCTAAATTTTTCCAACTTCTATCCCTTTTTCAACTGCCGCCGAGTGGGTTGGTGGGTTGTAAAGCGTACTTGAAACAAAAAAAAACTTGAGAAGTCAATCGAGAACACTTTTTTCAGACGCAGCCCCTATCCCTTCAGCGATCAAATACAACCCTCTGGTCGGTTATTCCCAATTTACGTGCCCTGAGTACGACCCACTCCTCCTGGCGACCTCTCCATGCGTCAGGGGATTCCGAATCTTAAATCTGTGTGGTGCCTGCACTCTCAGCTCTTGTGTGCAGCGCCCAACTTTAGCTGGTGACCCGATGAAAAATATAAATGTAAAATTGTAAAATTAGCAAATCTCAGGATCAACCACCTCTTGCTGGCAGACGAGCTGCGTCAAAAGACGTTAATTGATGCTCTAGGATATTCCAAGGTAGGATATTATGTCGTCACCATGCTTTCAGAATGTCTCATCTATAAGATTTTTTCAAAGGAAGATGCCATAGTCCGGATAATTACGAATGGACGCCGCTTTCCTATCCCGCTACATATGAGGAGAAACAATCACTCATTGTTACGAAAAATCCAACAACTCAGGGAACAAAATCGTGCGACTGAAATCGCTGCAGGAAAGCTCACCAAAGATCAAATCGAGGCGGAGGTGACTTTTTCC